AATAGATAGATAGATAGATAGATAGATAATAATGAACATATTGAGATAAAATAAAAAAAATAGATAGATAAATAGATAGAATAGATAGATAATGAACATACTGAGTAAGATAAAAAATAAAGTGAAATAGATAGATGAACAGATAGATAGATAGATAATGAACGGGTAAGATCAAAGTAAAAAAAACGTGAGAGTAAGATCAAAAATAAAGCGAGATAGATAGATAGATAGATAGATAGATAGATAGATAGATAGATAGATAATGAACATACTGGGTAAGATCAAAAATAAAGTGAGATAGATAGATAGATAGATAGATAGATAGATAGATAGATAGATACTGGGTAAGATAGATAAAGATAGATAGATAGATAGATAGATAGATAATGATAGATAATGAACATACTGAAGATCAAAAATAAAGATAGAAGATAGATAGATAGATAGATGATAGATAGATAGATAGATAATGACTGAGTAAGATAAAAAATAAAAGTAGATAGATAGACAGATAGATAGATAGATAATGAACGGGTAAGATCAAAGTAAGATCAAAAATAACGGAGAGAAGATCAAAAATAAAGCGAGATAGATAGATAGATAGATAGATAATGAACATACTGGGTAAGATCAAAATAAAGTGAGATAGATAGATAGATAGATAGATAGATAGATAGATAGATAGATAGATAATGATATACTGGGTAAGATCAAAAATAAAATTGATAGAAGATAGAAAATAAAGATAGATAGATAGATAGATAGATAATGAACATAGACAAGATAAAAAATAAAGATAGATAGATATAGATAATAGATAATGAACGGGTAAGATCAAAGTAAGATCAAAAATAACGTGAGAGTAAGATCAAAAATAAAGCGAAGATAGATAGATAAATAGATAGATAGATAGATAATGAACATACTGAGTAAGATAAAAATAAAGAAATAGATAGATAGACAGATAGATAGATAGATAATGAACAAAAGATCAAAGTAAGATCAAAATAACGATAAGATAAAAATAAAGATAGATAGATAGATAGATAGATAGATAGATAATGAACATAGATAGATAATGAACATACTGAGTAAGATAAAAATAAAGTGAAATAGATAATAGACAGATAGATAGATAGATAATGAACGGGTAAGATCAAAGAAGATCAAAAATAACGTGAGAGTAAGATCAAAATATAGATAGATAGATAGATAGATAGATAATGAACATACTGGGTAGATCAAAAATAAGATCAGATAATAACGTGATAGAAGATCAAAAAACAAAGCGAGATAGATAGATAGATAGATAGATAGATAGATAGATAGATAGATAATGAACATACTGAGTAAGATAAAAAATAAAAAAATAGATAGATAGATATAGATAGATAGATAATGAACGGGTAAGATCAAAGTAAGATCAAAAATAACGTGAGAGTAAGATCAAAAATAAAGGAGATAGATAGATAGATAGATAGATAGATAGATAGATAGATAATGATACTACAATAAAATAAATGAACATAGATAAAGATAAGATAAAATAGATAAAGTAAAAATAAAGAAATAGATAGATAGACAGATAGATAGATAGATAATGAACGGGTAAGATCAAAAAAGATCAAAAAATAACGTGAGAGTAAGATCAAAATAAAGCGAGATAGATAGATAGATAGATAGATAGATAGAACATAGATAAGATAGAAATAAAGATAGATAGATAGAAGATAGATAGATAGATAGATAATGAACATACTGGTAAAAAATAAAAATAGATAGATAGATAGATAGATAGATAGATAGATAGATAGATAATGAACATACTGAGTAAGATAAAAATAAAAGTGAAATAGATAGATAGACAGATAGATAGATAGATAATGAACGGGTAAGATCAAAAGTAAGATCAAAAATAACGTGAGAGTAAGATCAAAAAATAAAGCGAGATAGATAGATAGATAGATAGATAGATAGATAGATAGATAATATAATGAAAGATACTGGGTAAGATCAAAAATAAAGTGAGATAGATAGATAGATAGATAGATAGATAGATAGATAGATAGATAGATAGATAATGAACATACTGAGTAAGATAAAAAATAAAGTGAAATAGATAGATAGATAGATAGATAATAATGAACGGGTAAGATAAAATAGATAAGATAGAAATAAAGAGATAGATAGATAGATAGATAGATATAGATAATGAACATACTGAAGATAAAAAATAAAGTGAAATAGATAGATAGACAGATAGATAGATAGATAATGAACGGGTAAGATCAAAAGAAGATCAAAAAATAACGTGAGAAAGATCAAAAATAAAGCGAGATAGATAGATAGATAGATAGATAGATAGATAGATAGATAGATAGATAATGAACATACTGAGTAAGATCAAAATAAAGCGAGATAATAGATAGATAGATAGATAGATAGATAGATAGATAGATAATGAACATACTGTAAGATAAAAATAAAGAAATAGATAGAT